ACGCGAGCCAAAGGGGAGGGTCGGTCCACGTTCGGGATGGTCGCGGAGCGGAGGGGAGGGACCGCGACGAGCCCTGACGGGGAGAGGACGCCAGGTCCGTGGACAAGACTGAGAGAGAGTAGAAGATTGTGCGGTTGTAGGGAAGAGGGAGAGAGAGATACAGAGAGAGAGATGGAGAAAGAGACAGAGAGAGATGGAGAAAGGAACTGGAAGGGAGACAGAGAAAAAGAGAGAGGGACAGGGAGAGAGAGATCGCCATCGCGTCGTTAGATACCACCGACGGGGATTTGACATTTAGTGTTTTTAGACAAACTTCTGAGCACTGTCTCCCGCAGATCATTATCAAAGCATTCCTGTCAGTGTAATCAAGATGAATGACTCGAGCGCAACCGCGGCCGCTGGATGGAGGGGCGGGTGGGGCGGCTGCGGCGGCTGGGAGGGTGGGCGCATCACTTCTTGGGTGTGATTTGTCGGCCCCGGCGCTGACAATGTTTCTGTCAACTTATTGAATCATCCGGCAAAAATGGGGCAATCTGGAAGACAGAGAGCAATCTAAAACATTGATAAATAAATACGGGAGATATGAATATGTTTGTTTGTTTGTTTGTTTTGGCTTGGCTGTCGATTTGATCCTTAGAAAATCTCCCCCCAAAGACTGATTGGTGTCGCGCGCGGCAATTAACTCTGCCAGCAACGCCGATAAATCAACTTCCTGAACTCGGCGTGGAGGAGATGATGTTTTTGAAATTAGCGACATCCGCTGCTTGCGTTGTTTGGAGAGAAGGGGAGGAGAGAGCCGCCTGGAGAAGCGTGTGATTTTTTAAAATAACAGCCTTCTGATATCTGATATTCAGCACCAAGTTCCAGCAAATCACACTCATTCTTCAGCACTCCGCGGGGGAAACTCAGCGCGCCCATTTCCCTGACGTTTTGAGTGGCGAGCGCGCGTTTTTTATGCGTTCTGATCGTCTGTTAGCGCGCGGTTGCCTCCCTAATATTAGCCTCGCGCGCTTTCATGGCATTATGAGGCATGAGGCGCTGTCACCGCTAACACGCACCAGGAGCATTTAGGTCAATTATCATTCCATTCAAAACCTTGCTCGACTCTTCAGATTAAGAAACACACTTATCCACGCGCGCACGGTCCAAGAAGAGCAATATTTCTGCCACTGAGACCATCAAGAGAATACTTTATTGCTTTACTTATTCAAGTTTCATTTGCAATTCCTTGTGAGCGTTTTCAAATATATACAGTATTGGTGTTTGTGCTGGCGCTCCGTTGGCTCCGAGTCCCGCTGATAACACTAATCCTGTTTACTTGCCTCGTTCTCTCCGCTCTCTGTATCAAATATACCTTACACTTTGCCTGACTTCAAGGCGTACCCGCAGAGGAGGGACGTGGCCCTTGCCCCGGCGAAGCGGCTCTCCCGTCAGAACAAAGGCTGTCCCCCATTCCCCATTCCCTCTCTGCATATGGAAGAGGCAAGCGCCGCCGCAGAAATTAGCAGAACTATCTGGGCCATTGACAGGCCTCCCCCGTGGTCACAGAGGCTCGGGCTGTTTGGTACCCCTCCTCACTGGCTGGGCGCAGATAACCGCCACGGAGGAGGAGACGCAAACACACAACCTCTGGCACTGGCGCGGCTGCTCTTAACGGCAAAGAGTGCTAAGCTTCAAACGGGGATTTAACGAGTTCTGGAGCAAAGGTGAAGAGGCAGACGTGAAACATTAGGGCATTTGGTGTTTATCAAACACTCGGGTAACCTCTTTGAACGCACAACCTCGAGGAGGGTGAAGTGAGAACCCACAGCTTTCATTTCTAAAAACCTGAGCTACTTTTGTGCTCGTCGGCTGCAGAAGGGAAATTATTATATGTTCGATTCGAAATGGAGAGAGTTGCCTTTTTCAGGGACAACACTTCCAAACCGTGACTTCTTTCATACAGTTGACATAATAAGAGTTAGGGATCGTTTATCTGTGCCACTGTAGGGGAAATGTCAATGTTGCAGGACACTAGTGTATGTGTGTGTGTGTGTAGGTGTGTGTGCGTGTATGTGTGTGTGCGTGTATGTGTGTATGACCAGTGTAAATGAGCGGTTTTAACAAATTGTGCGCGTGAAGACTTCTAGCCAAATGTAAACTGTACATCCATGAAAGTGTGTTATTTTTTAATGTTGTATGATATGTGCACTGTCCCTGTCATTTTAAATAAGTAAACTAAACTAAATGAAACTAGTAAGAGCACATCGCAGCTACCGTATTTGTCGCACTCACTCAATTTGTGTGCTCCCTCGTTTCGATCGCTGTAAATGCTTCAGTATCAGTATATATCCATACATTTTCAGAGAGTGCAAAGTTACATACACAATGTTGTGCTCCAATGGATGAGGTCCTTTTTTATTGTGAATCGAAAACATTTTGACATTCTTAAAATAGTGGAACAACCAGCTTTTGTGTTGTGTGTGTGTGTGCGTGTGTGTGCGATTTTAATATAACTTGTATGTTAAAGTAGTTTGTAATTTCTGCTTGATACATATATATATTTTCACTGTTTTACAATCACCTGCTCAGGGACTACAGGTGTAAATTAGCAATGCTGCTACAAACTGGCACGATGCTGCTCTCCTATTGGCTCCTGCTTCCTGTACACACACCCTGTAAAAAAATAAAATCAATACCAGATTTTGCAAATGTATAACGCATTCTCGTTTTTAGACAAAATGTTCAAAAGGTCAGATTGTGTAGCCATATTTGGGATTATTTAAATACTTGGTTGTGTTATGATAAACATCAAGCAAAATCGTTTTTATATTTACTCTATTACTATCATTTTGTATCATTTGTTTGCTTTCTTCTACAGTTGCCACATCCGACCCACCGCAACCATGACTATTAATTACAAAATGCTAATATATCTACTGCGGTTGTTGTTGTCAAGGGTTAGCATATGGCCATCAGAAAGACATGTTTTTTATACACGGGGCGACAGTGGCTCAGTTGGAAGAGCATTGGCCTTTTAGCCTGAAATTTGGGGTTTTGAGCCCATCACGAGACCTTCTCCACTGACTCCCACTGGTGTCTGCTGTCATTGTGTCCTTGGGCAAGACACTTAACCCCACTTGGCCTGGAGCCCCCGCTGAAACACCTAGGCTCCTGTGGACTCAATGAGGGGCTGGGGCTCTGACTGCCACCCACCCGACCGAGGAATGGATTCAGGGGAAGAAAATGGATGGATGGATGGATGGATGGATGGAGTTCATACACAAGGAAGTGCAGAAAACAGACAGGCGAGGCATACAAATCAAAAATAAAATCACAGTACATTAAAAAGAATTACGATACAATCCTTTACACAACAGAGGCCTGTCTCACATTTTCAGGAAGACTGTTCTAGATTTTAGCAGCGTAAATCTGAAACGCTCATGTTCAGTCCTGACTAACCCTTTTTCATATTTGCAAAAGAAATCAAACAAGGTTAAAAGTACAGAAATAAAAAAATCATTAAAGTGATGACAGTTAGTGGAAAGGAGCTGTCCTTCATCTCAGCCAACTGTCTTCTGCCAGAGGGAAGAAGCTGGAACACGGCTCTTCCAGGGGCCAGAAGAGTCATTGATTATTTTGGAGTGAGCTCATTATTGAAAGCTGTAGAGCAGGGGGCCTCAACCTGTGGCTCGGGAGATACCGGTCGGATTCAGGAATTTTAACACTTGACTTTTGAGTTCAGCCAAATATTGTCACTCGACGATGCTGTTTCTTAAAAGTAGCTCTCCAATCGGAAAAGGTTGGAGACCACGTGGATTTGGAAGAAAAAAGGGGTATTTCTGGGGGAAGGAGGAAGAAAATGGCTCTCGCACATTGTACTTGCACATACACTGCAAAAAGTGATGGAAAATACATTTAAAAGTTCCAAAATTGGGCAAAAAGTAGCTTTAATGAACATTTTGACTGAGCCTCAAAACAAGATTTGCCAACAAAGCAAAAATGATCTTGTTTAAAAAGATACAAGAAAAGTCACATGTAGCAAAAAGAATGGTTTCTACATGTAGCGCATGTGTGCCAAAATGTACGGCTACATGTATGTGCGTGTGGCCGTGCGTTTTCGCGTGTACAGGTATTTATCTATAGATGTATTTTTTTTACATCAATTACCCAATTTAATGATTATTAGCTATTACTTGGTCCTTTTTTTCTATTATGTGTTAATTATCATATGCTATCTCTCCTCTTGGGGATATTGTGGGAGGAACTGAGGCCAAAATGTATTCTTAAAATGCTGTAAAAATATGATAATAATAATAAAAAAATAAATGTTTCTCTTGGAATGGAAAATAAAGCAATAGTTTTTAAATTAGGCTAAATGACTTTGTCCCTTTGGAGAATCTGGTTTTAACACAGTCAGAATATGCTCAGATTAAGGTAAAAACCATTCGATTCTAACATTTATGACCTCATATATTATCAATTTCTGCAGTTTTTGTATTTACAGATGTGCAATGTTTCGTGAGCCGTCTGACAAATGCAGCCGAAAAGTTGCACATCTGTGAATATTGGCCACTGCGTGCAAATACAGCCTGAGGGAGCCATTTTCTTCTGTTTCAAGTCGGCAAAACAGCGTCGGCAAAACTCCGCCTCACAGAGTCACAGAGTCACATGTGCAAAGTTTTTTCCCATTTCTCTGGAAAGTAAAACAATCTAAGTCCGTAGAACGTACACAAGGATTGATGTAGACACAGTCTCCTAGCAACCGCTCCATCCTCCGCGACTAAACCCAGGTGACGTGAGCGCCTGTTGTCAGAGGGCTGGACTCCCGGTTGGAGGTGGTGATATTTGCAGTTCTCGGCCGTTGGCGCTCCGGCGGTCTCTTCTTGGCAGAGCCGCGGTGTCGGGGGATCGCGGTTCACAGAAGCCATGGCTGCTCCTCAAACCGGCCCACAGATGCTCCCCGCTTCTCCCCGGGCCAGGCCATCCTCGTCGTCCACGCCGTCCACGTCCGTCACTGACAGGCTGCCCATTCGTCCGTCCATCTGTCCGTCAAGAGAGGTCTGCACGGGATCGCGCCAGCTGCCTTTTAAAGAGACGGTGCGACGAGAGATCAACAGGACGCTTGGAGTAGTAGTAGTAGTACCAAGTATTTCTATATGTGCAGAAATACAAACAGTCAAAGCAGAAAATGTGGACATCACTGCGCCACCACTGCTGGTTTCAAAAGTTTCAAGGTGTCGTCTGTGCAAGAAGATAGAGAAGGAGTAAAAGTAGTAGTGGTGGTAGTAAAAGTAGTTGTAGTAGTAGTAGTAGCAGAACAATTAGTAGTAGAAGTTGTAGTATCAGTAGTAGCAGCAGTAGTAGTAGGAGTGGGAGTAGTAGTCGTGGAAGAAGTAGTCCTAGCAGTAGCAGTGGTAGTAGTAGTAGTAGCAGTAGTGGTGGTCGGTAGTTAGTGCTAGTAGAAATAGTATCACCGGCAGTAGCATAAGTAGTAGTAGTAGTAGTAGTAGAAGTAACAGTAGGAATAGCAGTAGGAGTACTTTTAGCAGCAGCTGGGAGGACTTGACCCAGATATTAAACTATTAATAACTTCCTGCTCATACAACGATATAGTACATTTTTTATTGTATTTTATTAAAAATGGTTCAGATCCAAAATAAACAGTCATTTTCATTTGACCTCCACTGCACGTCGTATTTCTCAGCCAAAACATTCCGCCTTGTTTTTTTTTGCTCATTATCCCTATAAATACATTAAGCATATTTCAAATCAATTCCTAAAGTCAAAATTCTCCCTCCAAAAAATCACTCGTCCAAGTTGCCAGAACGTCAAGAATCTGGCAACCAACCAATAAAGTTATTTCTTTTTGTGTTTTTTTTTCATAGGATGGCTGCGGTTATAGCTCTTTCTCTCTCCCTCCTCCCTCCCTTCTATCTTTCTCTCTCTCTCTCCCTCTCTCTATCTCTCCCTCCCCTTCTCTCCTCCTCCTATCACTCCCTCCCTCTCTCTCTCCCCCCTCCCCCCCCCCTCTCTCTCTCTCCCTCTCCCCCCCTATTTTTCCTTCTCCCCCCCCTCTCTCTCTCTCTCTCTCCCTCTCCCCCCTGCCTCCCTCTCTCTCTCTCCCCCCCTTCTCTCTCTCTCTCTCTCCCTCTCCCCCCCTCTTTTTCCTTCTCCCCCCCTCTCTCTCTCTCTCTCCCTCTCCCCCCCTGCCTCCCTCTCTCTCTCTCCCCCCCCTTCTCTCTCTCTCTCTCTCTCCCTCTCTCTATCTTTCCCTCACCTTCTCTCTCTCTCCCTTCCTCTATCTCTCTTTCTCTCTCCCTCCCCTTCTCTCCTCCCCCTATCACTCCCTCCCTCTCTCTCCTCACTCTCTCTCTCTCTCTCCTTCCCTCCCTCCCTCTCTCTCTCTCTCTCTCTGCTGACCATCTGTGCTCCTGAGTGAGGCCGAGTCCTCGGTCCACTGGGGAGTCCCGGCTGTGCCCCACTTTCTTGCTCTTCAGTCGGGGCCATCTGACGGGCCCTGAACTCACCAGCCTCATACGTCTCTCTGTGCTTGGCTCCGGGGAAAGCTCAGTCTCTGCAGTTGTTGTCCCCCCCCCCCCCAAAAAAAACGCAGGGCAAGTGGTGATAATGAGACAGGGACATGTTAATTGAAAAGATTTTATTTGGAGGGGGCCGGAGTGAGGGTGAGGAGGAGAGAGGACAGGAAAACGCCGAAGGATTCTAATATTTGGATTAAGATGATCCTTTACTCGCACCACAGTGGGGAAATGTCAGTGTTGCATCACCACACAGCCAAGGATAATAATAATAATAATGCATCAGTTTTATATAGCGCTTTTTGGAGACTCAAAGACGCTTCACATGTCATTATTCATTCACTCCATACACGGTGGTGATAAACTACTACTGTAGCCACAGCTGCCCTGAGGCACACTGACAGAAGCGAGGCAACCAGTATGTGCCATCGGCCCCTCCGACCACCACCAACCATTCACACACACACCAGACTCATTCTAGGCAATGGGGGTGAAGTGTCTTGCCTAAGGACACAACAGCAGTTTGGCACTTTACAGCCGCAGCCGCCCCACTGTGGCTGGTGTTCCCAGAGGTTAAGTGTCTTGCCAAGGACACAACGACAGTAGTTAGTGGGAGTCAATGGTGAAAGTCTTGAGCGGGGCTTGAACCCACGACCTTCTGGCTCAAAGGCCAACGCTCTACCAACTGAGCTTCTGCCGCCCCACATACAACAACAATAACTGTAACCTACCCTGGTCTGACCACACCATAGTACTCATTTCATTTGGTACTAAGGTCTGGATTTGCTCCATTGACTCTGTTAACAGGTGGGCGGGGTTAAGTTCTTTTGCAGATTGAAACCTTTGGATCTGAGTTTACCGTGACGTATGTAATGAGCCCGAGTGAGTGAGGCATTTAGCATTTAGCCTAGCTTTAGCCATCGCCTTTGCCACTGGAGCCCGTGGCGAGCAGAGCCACAACATCTTTGCTTCAATGACATTTACTAAACATTCCTCTTGCTCCGGCTTCAGTTTCTTGATATTTGGATTGAACCAGAACAGATTATTTTACTATCACATTCTCCGACAAACTACAACCAGCAAATTCAGCACAAACTCTTGACGTCACCAACACCGACCTACAACACCCGCCTCCCCCACTCTCTGATTGGTCGGAGGGGATTCAACCGAGGAAACTGCAGCCACTAGGATCAGACCCAGACGTACATGTTGGAAATGATCATGGACCAGAGTTTACACATGGTAAGACCAGACAAATGCAATGATAAAAAGGACAGAGACCCATGTCCATAAATGTAGTTACTCACCTCTCCAACACAGACCAGCTGGTAAACCCGTGGATAAAGGCGCCATACTACACCCGGTGTACGGAAAAACATATTTGACTCTAATCTTTCAGAAATAGCTATGTTTATCACCGTCGCTTCTGTACTAATTTGCATGTAAGAAGCGAGCTCTCACTGCTCCACTCATGGCTCTAATGAGATAAGACCAGAGAGACACCTCAGCACTGGGCCAGCCTCAGCTTTGTCTGCCTGTTGGTAAGGTAAATACATATTTTATGAAGCCAGAAAATTGCCTTTTATACATCCCCACCTCAACACATAACACATTATAAAGGAGGATGAAAACAAAGTCATAAACCTCCACGCCGTTATTTAATATGCAGCATTTCCACAAGGTGTGAGGAGCCATCGAGAAATCTCCATAAAAGTTGAGTAAATGCATAAATTTATATCTATGACTGTAATCAAAGACCGGGGGAGCGCAAACACACAAATACCCGAGCTTTCTTCACCTTATGAAAAATGGAAGCGGCGCCAAAAACCTGCACAAACCCAGTGGCTAGCCGCGGCGCGCTCGCTAATCAACTAAAAGAACATCAGAAAGAATAGGTAATTTCAGACACAAAAAGAATGCGTAATTTTGGGAGGCTCGCACCCAAGTGGCCGCGTTAGTTATGCCTAATGGAACGGGGGTGCGCCTTCATCTGCAATTAGCGGCTGTGCTTTATTACCTGTCATCTCGGCAAACGTCGCGCTCCGAAGACCGCGCCCCAATTACCCCGACGTGCTGTGACCAAACTCGGGCGGATTTGAAGATTTCATGAATTGTAATTAAGTATTTATTTGCAGAAGGCATAATGCAAAATCAGTGTAAAGTTTTCAAAAAGTCCTGGATCTACTGTCTTTGTCCTGGATCTACAGCTTCAGTCCTGGGTCTACAGCCTCAGTCCTGGGTCTACAGCCTCAGTTCTGGATCTTCAGCTTCGGTCCTGGATCTACAGCCCCAGTTCTGGATCTTAAGCTTCTGTCCTGGATGTGCAGCCTCAGTCCTGGGCCTACAGCCTCAGTCCTGGATCTACAGCCTCAGTCCTGGATCAACCAGATCACAGAGAGTGCGAAAACAAAATTTTTAGCCCAAAATGGTGAATGTGACACAAACGTTTACTAGAGAAGAATGTAGGTGACTAGGAGAAACTTTGTCCATGAGCCCTTTCCTAACGGGCTTCATTGAGCTAGCAGGTTAGCAATGTCCATCCGTATACAGGCTATGATCCCAACACGGGCTAAATGCATATACCAAAAATATTTCGGCCTTTGAGGAGATACTATTAACTACCACCGGCCCCTGACCAAAATGAGAAATAAAATGACAATAATCAGAATTTACAATATCTCTCAATGCATATATATATAAACATCTGTGTTAAATATGATCCTATACTTGCACTTTTGCACTGGGTTGATGCTAAACCACATTTTGTTGCATTGTTCTGACTTTGCTCTGACTCTAAAGTTGAATCTATTGTAATCTAATTTGGTCTTACCCGTGTATGTGTTGTTTTACTGTCTTGACATTGCAGAATACACCTGTTTTCCCAAAGCACACATCATGAAGAGACTGCAAACAGCGCCATCGCCCTCTTTCAAACATTAACTTTATCCCGGCGCTGTCACACGGACGCCACGGCTCGATGCGGCAGCCTGCGGACCCCGGCGGCTCCCCGAAGACCACCTCTCCTCTTAAGTATGAGATCCCTGAGAGGAGAAGCCTTGGAAGGACTGCTCCTGCTTTAAATACACCGCACCATCGTGGGAATATAGCGTCTTCCATATATAATTAAGACAAATCCTGCGTTGGAGGCTGTGTGTCTTTGTACCGCGGCTTAATGAGCGCAGGAGGCGGGGCGGAGCGGGTTTTTTATTTAGAAGCTACATCGTGTTTTTGCATTTGAGCAAACACCGGGGGTCAATCCGTGGGCCAAATCCGGCAATTCAACCAGGAGTGGATGGTAGCGAGTGTTTTATGTGACGTGTGTGGAGCGGTCAGACGTACAGGAGACGATCCACTTTGATTTCAATGTATTGGTGTTCGGCTCTAAATTACAACAACTGTAGTCGCCGAGGACTTTGAGAAGTTGTGGATTCGCCAACAACAGATCGGAGAATCAGCCAGTTCCATGTAGGACGAGGGACTAA